AGGCTGAAGTGATTCTAGGTTTAAGGATCAAGCGTAAGAATAATGAAATTTCTATTTCTCAATCACATTATATTGAGAAGATTTTGAAGAAGTTTAACTTCCAAGATTGTTCTCCGGTCAGTACTCCTATTGATCCAAGTCTAAAGCTCTTCCCTAATAAAGGTGTTGCGGTATCTCAACTAGAATACTCACGAGCTATTGGATGTTTGATGTATGCTATGATTAGTACTAGGCCAGACATAGCATATGCGGTTGGAAAACTTAGTAGGTATACTAGCAATCCTAGTTCGCATCATTGGCAAGCGATTAACCGAGTATTTAAATACTTGAAGGGAACCATGAACTATGGATTAACTTACACCGACTTTCCTTCTGTTTTGGAAGGATACTCGGATGCAAGTTGGATAACTAATATAGAAGATCACTCTTCCACGAGTGGATGGATATTCCTTCTCAGTGGAGGAGCAATTCGTTGGGCATCAAAGAAACAAACTTGCATAACTAACTCTACAATGGAGTCTGAGTTTGTGGCTTTGGCAGCAGCCGGTAAAGAAGCAGAATGGCTAAGAAATCTGATATATGACATTCCATTGTGGCCAAAACCAATATCTCTCATATCTATCCGATGTGATAGTGAAGCTACTTTGGCTAAGGCTTGTAGTCAAGTTTACAATGGGAAGTCAAGACACTTAGGTGTGAGACACAGCATGGTTTGAGAGCTCATCATGCATGGTGTGATATCAGTGGAGTTTGTAATGACTCAACAAAATTTGGCTGATCATTTAACCAAAGGGTTAAGTAGAAACCTTGTGCAAAGATCGGCTATAGGGATTGGATTGAAGTCTATATAAATTTCTCATGGTAAGAATCCCAATTCCCATCTAATAAGACATTAGATGCTGAATTCAATGTGGAAAATCTTAACATCTAGAAATTGGAACACATTAAGTTTATTATCTCAAAGCATGCGTTCAGACCTGTAAGATTAGGAGGATGAAGTACGTCTTCTTAATAGTTCTTTTGAAAAATTGCATATGCAGGTGCAAGAATACAGAGGACTACCTATATGAGCACGAAGTTTAGCCGCTTCAAGAAGTAGAGACTTCACTTCGATATGCTTATGAAGGATTAGGACACAAGGCTAGTAATTAATAGTGTCAAGTTAGAACATTAAAGTATGTAAACTTTTGTGTATATTATCTTCATGTATTCAAAATGAATAGCAAGGGTTCAATCCGTAGTGATACCCAGATATTCGAATATTTGAAATGTGTAATGTACTAAGATGAAATTCAATCGTCACGATATTTCATTTATGCATAAGTTTGTTATTTGATGTGAATTTGTTTAGTTAATCAAGGATTACACTAAAATAGGGGAGGAATGTTATATATTTTAGTATAATTATAAAAACTACGACCAGTGGTATCTTAATAATCATCAAAGAAGTTTGGAGGTGCGGAGTGCACGCTTCGTTGAGTTTGTTACGATATAAAACCCGTCACACCGGGGGTTCCAAGGGGGCAGCGCCCCATTGGCGGGGGTTCGGGGGCAGCGCCCCCGAGCAGGGTTCAAGGGGCGGCAGCCCCTGCGGGGTCCAAGGGGCAGAGCCCCTGGCTGGGGTCGAAATTTTTTTATTTTGGGCTCGGTGCTATGTTAAAAAATTCAATTAGAATTTTAATTTCGAATTTTCTTTAAAAGAAAATTCGATGGATAGGACTGAATTTTGAAGAAGAAACTTCCGCGCGAAGAGTTGCGTGCTTTGGGTAATAGCCGCGAATGATGTCTTCTCCTTCTCACCCCTAGTCTATAAAATTCCCCTGGGCATGGTCGAATTTCGTTCGTTTTTAGACACAACAATTCTCATATTTCGTTCTTGATACTTTCGAGTTTTATCCGATTGAATTTTGGAGTGAACAACCAAAATATTCAATCTGAAAGTGTTTACACAACTCTCGATTCATCCAAGTTATCATTAATTTCCCCAACACTCTATGCACTCCATCCCACCACTTGGCCCCCTCCCCCATCGTCCCTAACGCGAATTGCCAATTTGGGCATATTTGAGGGAGGCAGAGGTTGAGGGTGTTGGGGTTTAGAAGTATTAATCATCAATTTTACCAACAGAGTACTGCAGATGCCCGCGTCATTACATAACCTGGATTTTCAATGTAAAAAAAACCACCGGCATACATATATTTTGAAAATTCTTTTGGCATTATTAGTTGTTACCATGTTGTAGTGTCAGTGTGGGTCAAATAGACATTTGGCTTTTGGAGTACAGCAATAATGTACGGAGTATGAATATTTTGTTTCATTTGATCAACATTGATTTTTTAGATATTAAAGAAAAAGAATTAAAACAGGAGTACTTTAATAAAAAAAATATAAAGTACCCCCTAAGATGATCAAAGTACCATTTTTAAGTGTTGCAAAATGCGATAGGAGTACTATCATTGTTTCACTCTGGATGGCCATTAGTACCATATGTATTCTTGTCAATAATTGGTGCCAACAAAGACTATCAATACCCTCACTAATACCGCTTAAGATCATTATCATCGTTAATTACCTAATTGGATTTTAGTTTCAACATTTGAAATTTTATAATTTCAAATACCACATGTTGTTTGGAAAGTCATAGAATTTCAATTCTTTAATTTGAATTTTGAAGTCGGCAAACAAGCTAACGGAAACGGGTTGACATATATGAAATTGTTATTACATAAGGAAAAATTGCTCTTTAATTACAAGTTTTAAATTAAAGAAAATTGAATTTGAATTTGGAAATGATATAGGGAGGGGCATGGATTTGTGGTTGAGTTAGTTTTGAATTAAAAGAATTTGGTTGAGTTTAGTATACAAGTAAACAATAAAAAATACTCTCTCCATTGTGACTCAATCCTCAAATTAAATTCACAATTTTCCATTATTCACAAAGTAAAGATCATACGGAGTACTTTTTTTCATTTTCAACAAAGGAATTTGTGGGTGATTGATAACATTTCTCTAATTTCCATATAAATTTCTGCCAAAATGTTTTTAAAAAACATTTTTATATAATTTGTGAAATAAAATGCGAGTTTAATTTGAAGATGGAGTGGGTAGAAACTAGAAATACAAAAGTAGATTTCCTTGAGGTGATGCTTTGGTAGCTCACGGAAAATCACCGGGTCCATTGTTCGTCACTGGGCCAGTTACCATATTGGGCTTGCGATCCATAAAAGCAATAAATGGAGAGGAGAGAGAATGAGCGCAGGCGGGGCCTTTCTGATTCGAACTCACCACCGCTCTCCTCGCCGTTGCTCCACCGCTCCTCCGCCATTCCCGCCGCGTTCAACCCCGCAATACTTCATCCTCGCCGCCTTGATTCCTTCTTCTCCTCCATATCCGCAATCCTGTTCCTCCGTATCTATAGCTCCCGCCATCTGGTTTCGAATCGGAAGCTGCTTCTCTTCGGTTACTCAGTGCGGTGCAGTTGCAATGGCGGCCTCCGGAGAAGACCTCGACCTCGACCTCAATCTGACGCTCTCTCGAGTTCACCTGGATCCTTCAGCTCCTCGCATAGTCTCTCCGCCGTGTAGGCCACACAGCTTAGCTCCCGTCCCTAATCCCACCGCCCTCTCCGATTCCCGAACGGATTCTCCGACTGTACCGTCCTTTCAGCCGCATTCAGCTTCTATCGGAGTTTTTGTTCCGGTAAGTATTTGAATCATATGTGTTCTTACTTCTCTCTATTTTTTTTCCGTTTTCCTTTTTGCAAATTACTAATTTCATACGTTGCCAGCAGAATTTCTAAATTAAGTTTCTAGGTTAAATCTAAGTTTTCAATTTGGCGATTCTATCTTTTCTTTTTATTTATTTAGGCTTAATTCTATTTCTAGTGTGTTTTTCCCAGATTTAATACAATTTCCAGATATAGGATCACAACGTGTAAGTGAAAATCAATAATAGATCGCAATCACTATACCGAAAATGCACATGACTTTCAGATATGTGGTTTCAGGGCCTATAGAATAGACACATTTATATTATGATTTCTTTGTATAGATTTCTTTTGCTTTGATTCTTTATTCTGTTTGGAAGATGTTATATAGAGTGTTAGGTTAGAAAAAATGCTCCGTACTCCGTACTATTACCTTGTATGGAGTATATGCTTCTGCTTGAACTCTCCAATTTAGGGTAGCTTATAATCTATTTTGTTTTCGAAAGAGAAAAAATGTGACTGGTAGCTCTGAAGCTGAGAATGTTAACAATATGATGTTACAAGTTCAAACTGCGGAGACCACCAACACGTCTCTGCTCCAACAAACTGTTAGTGCTTCAGAATGGCGTAGAGCAAGGTCTGTAAAGCGTCCCAAGTTTGGAACTAAAGGAATAAACTCAGGTGAGATAAAATTGGGCGGTTCTTTTTTCTGCTATGGTGCTGTATTGTTGTTGAAGATACTGACTTCGTTGATTTATCATTTTCTTGACAACTAGATCCTTACGATAGCCCTAATGTAGCTGGAACCTGCCGTTATGACAATTCCTTGGGTAAGTCAATGACTCAATCATAGTACTCCATATTTGCTAGATGTCTCGAAGATGTAGATCATCATCATCATTTTATATGCACCTTAGTCCCAACTAGTGTTGGGGTAAATTAGTTCCAAATAATTGATTAGTTAACAGTATAAACTTGTTAATTGTCATGCTCCATTACAAGATTGATATTGTAAATACAAATATCAACTTGCAAATCACTGATAGACATATTATTTATTTCATTTTTTAACTAAAAAAATCCGCCACTGTCAGTCAAAGATTTAACGATGTGATTGTGATGATATTTTGCAGGCTTGTTGGCCAAAAAATTTATTCATTTGATCCAGGGAGCTGAAGATGGCACACTTGATCTGAACCGCTGTGCTGATATTTTGGAGGTGCATTTTATAAGTAAATGCTAAGAAAACAAAGCAAACAATTTGAATTGGGGGGGGGGGGGTTGAATTATAATTCTCAGTTGAAACTTTTTGTTTCAGTCTCTTTATTCTCGGGCTCCCTTCATTTCTTATTGGTACACTTTCTGTACAGGTTCAAAAGAGGAGAATTTATGATATTACAAATGTGCTTGAAGGAGTGGGACTAATAGAGAAAACTCAAAAGAATCACATGCGCTGGAAGTAATATAACTGAGTTTGTGCATATTTATTACATTGATGTACACTTCTGTGTAATGACCATTATACTGACTGATCTTTAATTCTTAACAGAGGATTTGAGACAAGTGAATCAAGAGAGTTGCATGAAAAAATCTTTAATTTAAAGGTGTCGTCTTCAAAATTATAATACCCTTTCATATAATTTGTTGATACTCTTTATTTTATTAAATTATGCTCTAATGGTTCTGTCATGGAAAAATAGCTTAAAAGAGGATTGTCTCCTTTGAGGCAGAGAGTTGGATTACCACTGTTCTGTCTTTTCCGCTTCTTCAATAATTTATATGTATAAAATTTTTTAGTTAAACGAAAACATAAGTGATTATGATTCCTTTGTGCTCACAGCTTTTAGCTTGATGATAGGTTGAAGTTGAACATTTGTGTACTGAAGACCAACGGCTGGATCATTGCATAAGGTTTGCTTGCCATTAGAGTATAGAAAAGAAAGTTATAGAAGTTTTAGTTATAGAATATTGCGCTAACAGCTTGTTTTCTTCAGGGAAAAGCTAGAGCAATTAAGGGTCCTTGAATCTGATCTTAATTGCCAAAAGTATGCTCTTTGTCCCGTTTTCTTGTCTACCATTCTACCATGTATTAATCATAGAACTAAATTCAGACATACTTTTTGAAATTTGAATCCTTTTCAGGAATCTCTTTTTGACACAGGATGATATCATGAATCTACCATGCTTCAGGGTTGGTACATCTCCCCATGTAAATATGTATGTAATCAGTAGATGACTTGGTTTCTAGTTCTGATGCATATAATTATGATATACCCAGCAGGATCAAACTATTATTGCGGTAAAAGCCCCACATGCAAGTTCAGTTAAAGTTCCTGATCCTTGTGAGGTACATCCACACGTGACTAAGCTAGTGACAGTACCAAAAGTACCAGATAGTTTGGAACGTGTGTTCAATTTTTTAAAAACATTGGATAATTGTACCTTAGGCCAACATGCGTATCAAAGGAAAAAGTTAATCTATAACCCCTTTATTGATGAATACAGATGTTTGAAGATTACAGAGTAGTCAAATTATTCGTAAGACAAAACATCAAGAAGAAGCCAAGCAACAGTTGATTTTTTATCATTCTTATCATCTTATGAAATTGTCCATAAACTTCTGTGAATGCTAAAGTTTAGTTATAAATAAAAGAATAGTATATGTATCTTTCTTTGCAAGAAATTATATATTTGAAAGAAAGTCCTTAAAAAAATAGTTTCAAAAACACCCCACATACCTGTACCTTATATTTTCTGATAATGTTGTCTAGTTGGTATTTTTAGAAGTGAAATCATATCATATATTCATATTACTCATATGTTTCAATCTGATAAGTATCTTCACGCCTGTTCTCATTTATCAAGCAGGATGGCGTTGTTTTCCCTGAGAAGCATTACAGGCTTATTGTTCGAAGCACAACCGGACCGATAGACTTGTACCTTTTGAGGTATTCACTTACTATAACAAACATGAAAGTCTAGCTGATATACTTATAATATCATCCACTCTCTTATCTCAATTGTAGTGAGATTTGGAGCTTAGGATCATTCCTAAGGGCCTATGTGGATGAGGGGTTGAGGGGTTATGCCTTAGTCTATATCTTGATATAGTTGTATTTGAGATTTTATTATAAAAAAATGAACTATTAACATAATATGGATAACAGATTGGTAACATTTCCAGTTCAATCACCTTTTATTTGTTATTAGAAGCACCTTCCATCCGAACAGTCCCTCAGAAAACACAATAAATCCACCAACAAACTACTAAATACTTCATCTTTTTGATGCGCCATGCAGCAAAAAAGACGGGCAACATGAAGATGTGACTGTGAAACATGCAGTATCCTCAGGTGGGGATAATTGTAGCAGACAAAACATTGACACCAGATCATCTTTGGTTTCTTCAGATACTTCAACCTTAAATACCACGAACCCGTGCCAGATCCACAAAATAGTTCCATCTCGTGCCAGTGTAAGTACATGATGCAACATATTCCCTCCATTTTTAACTACGTAATTCTCAGACACTTTTGCCCTGAACATGACCTTATGGATTTCAAGATATTAGAAGTAACAATAAACAATGCAATAAGTACAAGGGCAATTCAGTCACTCTAGTACATTTTGATTTATTAAAAACATCCTCTCTACTTCCTAGTATGGATAAGGACTGCATCGTGCAAATACATGCCCCCCTGACCCTACTCTTGTGAGATTTTACTAGGTTTGTTGTTGTTTTCGAAGTTGTTGTAACGAGAACTTGGGGTTTCGTTAAATCTGCAGTTTGATGACGACTACTGGTTGCACTCGGATCAGGAAGTGAGTGCGACGGGTCTATGGGGCAGTGAAGAATCTTGAGGTTTGTTTGGATAAAGATCATAAGAGTAACAAGAGGGAGTGAGTGTATCAGACCTGTACATACTCTATTTTAATATACCTTTCTTTTTCCTGTCTTTTTTTCCCTCTTAACAGTTG